AGGGGCCAAAGTGAGTTTCTCTGAATAAATCTCCAAAAAAAAAGTATTTGTATTTTTTACAAAAAAAAAAAAAAAAAAAAAAAGATATACTAGTCTGAGTCAGAAAATCTGCATTATTTTACCTTTTCACATACAAACTGTCTGAAAAAAATTAACTGATGATTCAAACCCCAAAAATGTGCATAACAAGTCCTATGTTGCTACATGTATCTAATAGTTGTGAATATGGGCCCCTGGCTCCAAAATACCTTGTTGAACCTATAATCAATTTGTTTTTTTCTATGGATATTGTCAATAAACTCTTCTTTCATTATCCAACATGTCCATATCTGACACAAATGTGATGTGACTGAATTGCAGGACCAGCAGTATAGCCAGTATCTACCAAGGACTTAACAGAAATGCAGAAGTAGAAGCTAAAATAAAATGCCTTGACATGATCACCATTTTTCAAAGGCACTGTTGCTAACTGAATGGAGTCTGGAAGATGGTGTCTGCAAGCAAACACATTTTTCCTGCATTGGTTATACTACTAAGCATTGTACACTACAAGCTAGAACTCATATTAATATGCAAAAAGACAGTTAAAATTTTTATGCAGAGATATATAAATTATATTTTGACTATTAAGAAGAGATTAAAAAGATCCTTATGCTGACTGGTGTAGTTTACTTCATTTCAGATTCTCTTTAGCAGACAAACCTCAGGTATGCACTGTTTTTCTTCCTCTTCAGAAGGTTAGCACAAGTATTTTCTAGTGTTTTAAATATACTGAGACTGATACTGCTAATTTAATTTATTTTGGTCCCAAGAAGCTAATATTTCATATAAGGTGAAATACATTAAAATTGCACAACATGAATGGGGTTGTATAGTGGTTTGCAACCAGAATGCATACTGTATAAATGCACTGTTGGAAGTGACTTAATGTCACACTGTAATTGATGAGTTGATGAATCTGTAAGTATCATTCATTTCTGTAGACAGATTCCTCTCCAACTTTAGTCTCTTGAATTGCATCTGTGTTAAAAATTCACCAGGTTTATCAGTAGCCTCAAAAACCAGAAGGGTTATATTAAACCCAAAGTTTTATAAGCTAAATTGAACCTGGGCTTGGGAACTGTAATTCCTCTATGAACTGATGAGGTTCTATATCTTTTTGTTGCCAATTTGGATGGCTGGCCACAGCCATTTAAAAAGGGAACAAGCTGCTGCTTCTTTTCTTGCTAATGCTTCAAGTAGGAATTTTCAATTCAGTCGTTTAATTCAGTGATGAACTATTTGCCTTTTCATGAACTTTTAAATTGTATTAATTTAGGTGGTAATTGATACTGATTTCTAGTCTTTAACATCTCTTTTGTTACAGGATTTTAGGATGACAGTATGCAATTGGTCATGTAGATTTTTAAAAAATTACACTCTGGAAGAGTCTAAGAAAATAATCCAAGATCATGTGTTCTATAAAGAGCCACCAGTTGCCAATACATCCATAATTCATGTGCTGCAATTGTCAGGAAATTTAAAGGCAAATTTTTTAATGGCTATAGTACAGTGGAAGTCAGACATTTTGGATCTTTTTAGCAAAAGAATAATAAAAAAAGTACATTTTAGTTAGCAATTTCTAGGATATAGCTTCACAGAATTTTTTAGAATTTATCTTCACAACTCAGAATTTGTCACTTGTCTGTTGCTTTCTCTGTGTCAGGTTTTTCTATAGTGAGTGCAATAATATTTCTTTTCCCTTTCCTCTTCCATAATTTCTGTGAAAAACACTGCAACAGTTACATATTTATGGCTTTTACCTTGAAGCCAGCACTTGACAGCAAAGAAACAACATGAACTTCATCAGACAGGAATGACAGGTAGCTGAGGTAAAGTTTCTAAGCAGGAGGTGGCAAAAAGTTTTAAGCTTATCTTGAGAATGTCCACAAGATCTTACAAGATGTAGTTCACAGTACCTTCACTTTATCCCATTATGTTGCAATTTTCTTGGTAAAATAAGACATTTGTGAAATTAATGAGGCACACACAGTTGATGGGAGAAGCACAGCAATAGCATGAAAGCTAGGATTAAGAGGTCTACAAAGTGGGTATTGGCCCAATGGGTGTGTTTTCCAGAACCTAACCCTTTGTTCTGAAGAGTTTAAAAGTTCAATTGAACTTTTTTGGAATGCTTAGAAAGTGTTGCCTAGTGAAAGAAACTGCTGCTAAGACAAAACAAAAACAAAACCAAAACCAAAAAAACCCACAAAATTGTTTCACTTCCAGTAGAAAAAAGAAAATTAGAATACCTTGTCTTTAGAATGCTGAAGTTTGGGTACAGGAATTATTTAAGTATTTAAGTCACTAGGTAGAAGAGGACACAAACAGTGAAAAACAGGAGAAAAAACCTGATTAGACTAATCCAATCTGTTCCACTTGTAGGAAGAATGAAATATCACATTCAATGTAAGCAAATTATTGAAATAAATTACTAGAATGTGTTTCATTTTTTCAGGTGGATGCTACCACCAGTAAGGACACACTGTAAAATGTTATATTACATTAATAAATCTATATCACTCATGTGAAATAAACAGATTTAATATTTTAGTTTTTTATTTACAATACAATA